CTGTGTGTGGTGATGTTTCTGGGAATGGGAAACCGAATAGAGTCTTATCATTACAAATCTCTTCTAGCGCTGAGGATACTATTTCCCAGTCGATACCGTTTGACCAAAGTCCTCTCACTTTTGAACCTTCATCTTATGCAGAGAATTTGCGGGCCCACTGGGCGCTCGAAGGGGGCCACGCATCTTATGCCATTCTTACGAGAGCTTTTGTTCTCGTCAATAACACTCAAAGCCGGATTAAGATTGTCGATACACTAGTCAATCTCCTGAGGTTACTCATAGAAGCTGACCCGGACAGTCTCATTTTTGCAGTGTGGCTTGCAACCAATGCGATTGCCCCTCCATATGTTCCAGTGGAGTTAGGGTTGGGCGGGTCTGCTATATCAAAAGCATTGAAAACTGCATATGGATTAAACAACCAAGGATTGAAAACTCTGTGGGATAAGTATGGTGATGCAGGGGATGTTGCCTTCGAGGCGAAGAAAAGGCAGACGTTTACGTTAAGGAAGCCAAAACCGCTATCAATTAGAGGAGTCTACGAATCTCTCTTGAAAATTTCTAGAAGCAAGGGGCCGGGAAGCCAGGAAATCAAACAACGAATCGTTGAGAAACTCCTCCAAGATGCGCGAGGCGCGGAGGAAAGCAGATACATTGTGCGAACACTTGTACAGCATCTCCGCATTGGCGCGGTGAAAACAACCATGCTCATTGCTCTGGCTAGAGCTTTTCTTTACTCTAGACCTTCTACGAAAGATTTCTTTGTAAACAACCGAACCGAGCTATCAAAACTCAAAAGGGAAGAAATGGCGAGCATCTACAGCAGGGCGGAGGAAATCGTGAAAGCTTCTTATGCTCGACATCCCAGCTACGACGATTTAGTATCATGTCTTTTGGAAATCGGTATTTCAGATGAGCTTCTTGTGAGATGTGGGCTAACTCTCCATGTGCCATTACACCCAATGCTGGGAAGCATAACAAGGGATCTAGCGCAGATGCTTACCAAACTCCAAGGGAGAGCTTTTACCTGCGAATATAAGTATGACGGACAACGGGCCCAAGTACACTGTGATTCTTCAGGCAAAGTCTCCATCTTTTCTCGACATCTGGAACTCATGACGGACAAATATCCTGACTTGGTTGCCCTAATCCCTCGGATTCGGGGTGAGGGTGTATCCAGTTTTATTTTAGAGGGGGAAATTGTTGCGGTGAACCAAGAAACTGGGGAGCTATTGGCATTTCAGACTCTTACCAACCGTGCTAAAAAGAATGTTGGCATCGAGAGCATCGAGATTAGTGTATGCTTGTTCGCATTTGATCTCATGCTTTTGAATGGTGAACCGTTACTAGAGAGGCCACTCCGGGAGAGACGAGAGCTCCTTCGAGGTCTGTTCATCGAGGTTCCACACCATTTCACTTGGGTCAAAAATCTTGATGCGACATCGTCTGATTCGGAAGCGGTGCTGAGTTTTTTCAAGGAAGCTATTGATGCGAAATGCGAGGGGCTGATGGTTAAGTTGCTCGATGATTCTGTTCAACCTGAATTATCTAAATATGAATCTGTTGCAGAGCCGAACCTTAACAGTGATTTATTATTAACAACAGGCCCTGTTGAACCAAACGGTAACAACAAAACTAGAGCTCGGCGATCCCTGCTCTCTACTTATGAGCCAGATAAGCGGCTCGAGTCGTGGCTTAAAGTGAAGAAAGATTACAATGCTGCATCTGATACTTTGGACTTAATCCCGATTGCAGCTTGGCACGGACAAGGCAGGAAGGCCAAATGGTGGTCTCCTATCCTTCTTGCCGTTCGAAATCCTGAAACTGGCATGCTTGAAGCTGTCACCAAGTGCATATCCGGTTTCACAGACAAGTTCTATCAAGCAAATAAGGAAAAGTATGCAGAAGGAAGTGATAATATTATATCAAGACCGAGCTATGTGGACTACAGAAGCGAACCAGAGGTTTGGTTCGAGCCGCAGGAAGTCTGGGAAGTAGCATTTGCAGACATTACCCTGAGCCCCACGTACACAGCGGCAATTGGGCTCGTTAGCGATGAGCGAGGACTTAGTCTTCGATTCCCAAGATTTGTCAGAGTTCGTGAGGATAAAGGTCTTGAAGAAGCAAGCAGTTCCGATTATCTGGCGAATTTATGGCGGAAGCAGACCGAACGACTTCAGGAAGAAGGGGCAATAGCTAAACCTATCACGGAAAGCAACCATTTTGGATCTGAGGATGATTGAGCCACTGGAGGAAGCTAACATTAGTGGAATCGGATGGTAGATGTGAGCTAAAACCTGGAACCATATGGAAATTCCTCTTGGATCCTGTTTGGTTCGATTTTGGTGGACCTGATCCATGTCTTTACGTGCTGCAGCTGTACAAGCGATCTATCCAGATGACCGGCTGGTTGTGGATATACTTTTCTTAACCATGGCGATCAACTGTTGAGCCGCCTAACTTGCTCATCAATAATAGATGAATACGTCATTTCAGAATAAAAGAAAAATGGTGGGGTCACGATTTATCATCCGCTTTCGCTACGGAAACCGCTATCAAAAGATTTTAACCTTCTAGGGGCACTCAAAAATCGGAGTAAATCACATTATTTATCCTTGGAAAACATAACCAATAACAGGCTTGAGATTAACATTGGTGTTTAAAGACTTCAGTTAAGACTTATGATACTCCCAGCCGGAGTCTCAGTGGCTTCAGGCCTGCGTGACCCTAGACAAAAGGCTACATTCTAGGTGTTCGTCATATTTTCTTTTAGTGAAAGTAAAACTTTTGGTAGCGACTTAAGCATTCTGTAAGAAGGATAATCACCATGGGGACCCTGCCAAGAAGAGGATTTTGAGTTTGACAACATATCAAAAGAGGAAGATCTCTGAAGGCTATGATGCATTGTTTAATTAGCCTTTTTATTCACTTCTCAAGCTAAAGCTTGAAAGACAACATCAAGTATATATATTTGCCTCCTCCCTCCGCTGTCCATTGTCAAGTGTGAGACTGAAGCGTTCTCTCCTCCCAATTCAAGAATTATCAATATTTTCGAACTTTATCGTGATCAATACATAGTCAGCTATTGCTATCTCATCAGGCAATATGTCTTCTCTCCCGCGGAAAGCCTTGATCGCCGTAAGCGGTGCCAATCCCCCGTTCTATCTGGATGGGAAAAAAACAGGACTCTCTTTTCCAGAGGCCCTACTTCCGTACAACGAGCTTGTGGGAGCAGGTTTTGAAATCGATATCGCATCAGAGACAGGTTCATTTGCCTATGATGATCATTCCTTAGAGCCGCATCATCTATCCCGCGAAGACCAGAGGATTCTTCGCAACTCCAGCTATTCCTTCCATGAGAAAATCAATCAGCAGTTATTCAAAGCTGGAGATTTGGCACCACACGACTATGGGCTTTTCTTCGCAGCTGGAGGTCATGGCGCCATGTATGACTTCCCACACGCCCACCACCTGCAGGCTATTGCCGAAGACATATACAACCGTGGCGGAGTGGTCGGTGCCGTGGACCAAGCCCCGGTTATTCTAGCGGGAATGCATACCCCGGAGGGCGATCCGATTTTGAAGGACAAAGAAATCACAGGCTTCACGACGAAGGGCGAAGTTGAGCTCAAGGTTATTGATAAAATCAGAGACGATGGACTCAGAACGGTGGAGGAGATGGCTCAGGCTGTCGACGCTCATTACTTGCCACCTTCAGAAAATTTCGATGACTTCAGTCATATCGATTCAAGGATTGTAACTGGCGCCAACGCAACAAGTACTAGAAGCACTGTGAAAAATGCTATCAAAGTGTTTGAAGGGGTTGTTGGTGATTACTGAACCTGTTTTGTGTACTTCACAAAACACTAAAAAGCACGAAGCACGATTAATGATTCGAACGGTTGTACTCCGTTCCGTTTAACCAGTTTGCCTGACTTGCGCACCGTTTTGTCATTAGTATCAAGAGGAACTGGGAAAAGAAAAGAAAACAAAGGGATGAGTTGTCATTCTGCCATCTTTGGCCAGCCTTCTCTATTGTGTAATGGGTCGCTGCCGTGCCTTGATTTAACTGTCAGCTTCGGATTCTGTCTCACAAACAACCTAATGTCGCCAATGCTCCACAAAATGATATTTCCTAGCCGGTTAAAATTCCATCATCTCCGTTCTAAATTCGACAACGGGCGTGCCGTAACCTGGAGCCGCAGCCCGAAAATAGAACATATTAAAATCGAATAGCCTGGGGAATCTTCACCTTCGCTTGTTAACAGCGGTACTAATGTTTCAGCGAATCCAATGACGGGTCCGCTTTGCATGATTAGGAAAAGCTCTCTGTGGTTCGCCCTGCATCTGCAATGTTTGCTTCTGGTTTTTCGTTGCTTTTGTTTGAGCCGGCCATTCAATCTTTCATTGGTTGACATTTTGTGAACTGCGAAGGCTCATCGTCTTGATGTGATGGAATTTTCTATCTTCGGGTCTATGTAATGCAGAGTGAGAAATCAATCGATTGCATGTTAACTTTTTATGTTAAGGGACACCCCTAGATATTTCGTTTCAATGATCCACCATCTCTATGGAGCAAAGGGATTTGAAATATGTCAATCAAATTAATTGTTACGTCCAGAGTATTCCTTGGCTTGTCCTCCAGAGATGAATTATCTACCCCTTATGGCCCCGAATTAGCTAGGGATATGATAACTTCATTTCATTGTATTTTGACAACACTTTGACCATCGTCTATGAAAATACAACCCCTATCTTTACTCCTTGTTCCCTTGAATAATCACAGGGGGCTCCTGGCCGGATCCCAAATCCTCAGATGGTACAGCTAAATTGCAGATACTCTTCTCTGTCGATTTCTCTCCTCCCATCCTTCTGATTCTTGAGCCTGTAAATGCGTCATCACATCTTGCATCTCCAGAGCAATATTACTCCCGTTGCTGAAACGTTTCGTCAATAGCTCTAACCTCTTCGCCACCAAATGCCATCCACCAAATTTGGGAATGCTAATGCCGTAAATGACAAGTGCCTAATTGGGTGATGAACGACGCTGGACGGGACCGATCAACCCTTGAATCTCGTTTGGGCTCTGCAACGTTTTTTGAGTTGTAGAACGAGTTGAATATGCCAGGGAACATCTTGGAAAGAGGTGCTTTGTACGTGGGCATGCAAGCGCATATATTATGGCGACGTGTGCTTCGATGATAGTCCACGTTGAGGAGTTTGTCGAGGACCCTAGAATTTCAGTAAGTTTTAAATATTTACATTGCTGGAATAAAGATATAACAGGATAGCATAACACTCACAGGTTATGTCTAAATTCTCAGTTGCAATATTTAATGTCGTTAAGCTGAGCACACTGGTGACGGAGACGCTAGATAATGAGTTGCAATAGCAATTTCCTAACAATTCCAGATAAGAGGGTGCACAGTTGGATGTGATCTTACAAAAATACCAACAGCGAATATTGACATTTATCCTATCTTCACCCGCTTAGGCAATTGCAACGACTTGATTACCGGCATGGGAAGAACCAAGATAGCCAGGTCACTTAAAATGCTGAACGCCGTGTTCGCATACCAGCTCGCTGACATATTGATACATGATCTGGCAGCCCGTCTGTCCCAAGCACGATGGATTGGGGAGTATTGGAACACAGTAGCTGTTGTCGAATCGACCGTGTAGCAGGTAACTAGCGAGATGATCAGCCAGCAATACCGTCTAATAAGCTTTCCAAAGAATATTCGGAGATAGAGAAGGACGATTGAGATTTTGGACAGCGCAATTACCATTTTATACATAACCTAGGCGGCTACAAAAAGCTATGCTGATGTTAGCACACCTTCAAAGCTTTATTTGAACTTCAATGTATAGAGATATGTGTTAACGAAAATTCTTTGCTTGTGGATATAAATTGCGCTGTACATGCATGTACGCACCCGTCCCCGCGCGCGACATATTTGTCTTTCGAGATATTAAGATCAAATAGATCGTACCTTCAAAGTCTTTCTGTCGAGAGGAACTTGCTGATTAACATGTTTCCCAAACGCCCGTTTGCAAACTGTCCCTCAATTAGTAAACAATTTGAAAAGTCAGGGGTTTGTCCGCAAGCTTCAAGCTACTTACCAATAATCATAGTTGCATCAAGAATGACCGAAAATACCTATAAAACTAGACACCTCGGATGTTAGGACTAGGTCCAGATAGCAACTTTCCAGGGTAGAGACGTCTGCATAAAAGTGTTTGTTGATCAACTTCACGTGAGAATAGCTTACGCATGAAGCGATAATGGTCCAGTCATCTCTTCCCAGTCTCCGTGTAAAATGCAGTCGGCTGGCGACCCTCAATGCAACGAATTTGGGGCTACAAAGCTAAACAACATCGAAGGGATCATCAATCGATCAGATATGTCTGGTATCGGGTTTCCTAGCGGCGAATCCATATTGATTGTCTGCTAGTTGCAAGAAATCCCGCTTATTGCAACAACAAAGGTTTGGGATGTAGGGCCTGCCTGAAGAGACATGGAAGACATGTAGGTATAAAATACCAATAACGCAATCAGATGCCCTGAGATTATATCAAGGGATGGATTTCTCACAAGCATTAAACACATTTTCTGTTACATGAACTAGGGCAGATCACACCAGAAATCAAACCCATATCTGGCAAAGCATGAGTCGCCTAATACCACTACACCGGCTTTCCCGCCGAAACCCTAACATCATTCCAGTAAACGGGTTGTTGGTTTTGTGGCAGAAGCAATGCAAAACCGTGGTACTTTCTTTTAAATGCACTGAGAAGCGTCATCTTGCCGTTCATGGTATGCTTTTTTAGGAACAACAAAGAAAGAAAAGAAAGATTACATTCGCGGCACTCAGGAATAAACGAGGTCAAATGCAGAGCAATGGAAATCCTGGTAAGAGTACAGCGGAGTTGAATTCCAAAGCAAAGAGCACCTCTTATCCCATCGATACACCTTATGCAACAGATTCGGATGACAGCAGGCATACAGCAATACAAAGAATTCAACGGTGGAAGATTTCAAGGAGTGGCTGATCTCAAAGGCCGCGAACGGTTGGAGAGTGCAGTTAAATGATCTTCGCACACCAATAACTCAATGATTGGCTCCCTCTGACAAGCATATGGAACTGTTGATCCGGAGGAAGCAGCAGCCGTAGGCTCTATTCAAAGGCAGCAGCTATCGGGCTATCCGAAGTTGATGTTGGAGAAAAAATTCTTCAAATGTTGTCACATTGTGTCCAGGGTCCATAGAAGTTTGTCCCCTACCAAGCAGCCCAGCCGGAGAAAATGTGACGTTTATCCACGGTTAGATCGACCGGCTGTGTAGGTTGTCCCGGTATTTGGAGCGAGTGTCATCCTCTTTGCCGAATGACCAGCTGTGGGGGTTCAAAAGTGACCGTTGTGGTCAAGGGGTATCCACTGCTTCAATGAATAATGTGGAGGCTTGAAAATGACTCAATTTTCCATTGCTGGCATCTAAACGCAAGGAATAGTAAATCAATAGGCCTATTGATTGAGTGGTCAAAATCTTGGTCCAGTTGGGATGATTGAAAAAGAAGCGAGGAACATTTTTTGGGTTTCCAATGAACGGCTGTGGCGCCGCCGCCGCCGCCAACAATGCAAGGGACATATTTTGAGACATATCATATTGTTTGATTGACATATCAACAAAGAAATGAGAAGAAGCCACATGCACGTAATCGAAGGCTCACTCAATATGAACATCGGAGTCCCAGCCAGGCCAGCCGAATACGAACCCCAGCTATTTTGTAAACTTGAAGTCAGGATGGTCAACCCCAAGATTCTCCAACTCTTTACATAAATCGGACCTTTAGTCCGACATCCCGCATCACGTTTCTTATTTTCTCGCTCTAGCCCAATCATAAACCCCGTACACAGCAGTGCACACGCGGATATTAAAGCCAGAGACATACCATATCCAGTTTGAGCAACGGCACAGCGCTGGGGACGAATAAATTACTTGACACGATGCCGCTGATGTTCCCTCAGGAATTCTGCACTGCGCTCCCGACAGCATGCTTGTAGTGCCCAGCCCAGTTGTTGGAAATCCAGGCAACGGTGACAGGCTGCGCAATGAACACGCCGATAGTGACAATGAAGATTGCGAGGTGTTTGACTGTGGAGGATCCATGGGTTGACACAGTAAAATATTGTCGCCTATGCTGGCGAACAGGCATCCGAACATGGCAAAATCCCAGCGATGGCGGACTCAATCGCTGAGTGAGATAGCCTACAAGAATCGTGACCCCCGGCTGTCGCGGCCCAAATTGGGATACTTTGAATCTGAGACTGGGATGCTGTATATCCAAACTGATGGAGAATGGTGAGAATGAAGAATGCAATTGAATATCCAAGGCAGTGATGGTGAAGTATATTAGGGCCCTGGTCAGAAGAGCTTTAGTATGTTCGCCGATTTCTGAAGTAAAATTCATACCCTGTATATATCTTCCAGTTCTTTATGATAATCCGGAGTACTTTCCCATCAAGCTGGTCCATTTTGGTAAAGCCAACGTCTACATGTAAATGTAACGTAATCATTTCTTGCTGTCTCTATGAGGAACCTAGCCCACGAAGGTCAATCCACAACGAGGTGCTTTTGGTAAAACAGCTCAGTGCAATGGACATCAACCCCTCGACAAATGAATATCCTACGTGATATCAGTTCAGCATTAATCGCTCCAGCTGCAGACCATCTCGTTGTTGCAGATACACATCGGCCTCATCTAGTAGCAGGACCGCCTTCCAGTCACTAGCTATGCAGAAGATACGAGTAAGCTGGACTTCCATTTCCTCAGCTCTCGCACTTAAGTCGACAGAGGAGATCTGAAAATGGTTAACAGGCAGGAACCATTTCAGATGATAGAAACATACTGAGTAGAGTGGCCGTTCAAGTTGTTCGGTAATGGCCTCTGCCGTAAGCGTTTTCCCCACTGCTGGCGGGCCGTTGTCACAAATTCAGCTTTCCCGCATAGTTAAAATGGCCAAAGAATGACATCATCGAAGCCTTCTCCATTTGTCGCGCTGACACGGCTCTCCGAGATTTGATGACCTTCTTCTTCTCCTCAGGGACGGTTAACTTGTCAAATGGGGCATGGAGAATTTGATATCCTCAACATCCTCCACAGCAAATTCCCCTAGACCAGCCGTGTTAGTCTGGTTACGGTCGCTGAGTCACGGGTATGGATCTCATTCCAAATCTTTTCATTCAGGGAAAAGCCGAGTGCTGTTGGGCTGCAGACAGCCAAGTCATCATTCACCATCTCATTGGTAGCGACTGACAGCACAAGCTCCTGTCCGAAATTGAGGCCCTTGGGGAAAGAGAGGAACCCGGTGAAGGGGACCATTAGCGTAAAAAACAGGAGGCTAAAATGCAGGGCTACAAAAAACGTCTCGGGCATGGCGTCTCCTGGATGACGTCGAGATTTTCTCTTGGTTGGGTGGGATTTGGAGGTGGCTTAGCGCTGAGGAGGGGGGAACAATCTAATTCCGGGCAAGGGGCCTTATATATATCTCACAGCTCCCAAGGCACTTCAAGGTCATCAACATCTCACCTTCTTCCACCGAGGAGGTTACGGGTGTCATTTGCGACGCCAGATGCTCATGCCCAGCCAGATTGTTGGAGACTTGGATGAAGTTTGGACTCGCATGGCTATATTTGGCTTAGTTTCTTATTGACAAAATTTAACTCGCTAACCTTGAAAAGCTCCCAATCCGGGCAACCTCACCGATTATATTAGTGCTTGTCGTGATTGGAGCTGGCTGGTTCATCGCTCCGCCGAATCATCCCCAGTTGGTATCTCATCCAACAAGACCTCACACCTCTACTAGCTTAAGAAGTGTTTAAATATAGATGACAGCGGGGTCTCTGTTTCCCTTGTGGAACTAACCCAAATTGAATGTGCTTCCCCTAACTTGCTGTTGATTCACGCTCCTCCCTCATCTGACTATACAGACCGCACTTCACTATTTCCTATCCCACAATGGCTCGTCATCAAATGGTTCCCGGAACTGATAGCACTGAGTGCCAAATGCTGAAACTCGCCAGAAAACGCCAGGCTCCTGAAGGCAAAGGTAATATCCAGATCTTCTTTGCCATAGTCCAGGCTGATTTATTATAGGGAAACAGGTCAAGCGAGTCAACAAGAGAGAGCAACAAGAACAACAACTGACACTGAAATCCTACCGGAGGAGCGCACGTCTAAGCAGAAAAACCTCCTCTGCATCTGTATGCACACACTTCTTCAATATGACTGGGTGATATGGTACTGATTTAATGGAGATATTGCAGGACTCTCCCACCTGCACCCACACTCAAACACACACCCGAGAACAGAATACGAAGCCAAATCACAAACAATCCTGTGAAGATCAAGTCCCCCGCTTTTCAAAACAACCACGATTGTCTATCCATAGCTCAGCTATTGAATATCCTTTAGTGGAAAAGCAGTGTCACATTAGCAACTGGAAGAAAGCTGACTTGATTGAGTATTGGTGCAAGACCATTCACTGGCCTGAAGAATATTTTGAAGCCCAGTCTGGACAGACTGAAGATATGAACCACCTTCTCGCGAGAAAAAAATCATCAGCTTCCCTTCGTCACAGGAACTGGATGTCAAGTCTTGCTACAGGCTCCAACTTGATCACTGATCAAGAGTCAAGGAATGAAAAGAATGCCAAGTACAGAAGCGCTACTTATGAAACCCTCCTCGCTACTAAAGGCAGCTTCATGCGCAAGTCAGAACTTGGAATAACAGATAAGAGCAAGCAGATTTGTAAGGATTTAGTGGAAATCAATCAACCTGTTTCCAAACACACACTATTTCGAGATAATACATTTGACGAGTTTTGTCAAAGGCTACAAGGAAAGAATGAGTCAAGAGTTATTCAAGATATATCCCGATTAATTGTACCTTCGGCAGAATCTCTCGCCGTTGACGGGGCCAAGAATCTTAAACACTTGGTTGAAAGCGTCAATGAACAGTGGAGCTCCTCCATTGCCTTCTGTGGACCGCGTCCGCAGCCGGATTATGCGGCCGGGTTCGGCCGTTCTGCGTTCACGGAAGACCAGCTGAAGAAATTCGAGCCGTTCCTTGGCTACGACCCAGATACCTACAGCTCATTCTTCCTGGCTACCTTCTACATGTACTTCCCCTTCTTGACCAGTGAGGTGGAAGGCAACACCGCACTTGACATCGCTGACCGGCAGAATGCACACAGCATGACCCTTGCTGTGAGGGGCGTCATTGAGCTGTTTAAACTTGTAGGACGTGAAGATGAGGTCAACCGCGAGATCTTGGCTTTCTCGATCTCACACGACAACAGGACAGTGAGAATCTACGGCCATTATGCAGTCATTGAGGGAAGCAAGACTTTCTTCTACCGTCACCCTATCAGAACATTTGACTTTACGGAGCTGGACGGCAGAGAGAAGTGGACCGCTTACACATTTACAAGGAATGTTTATGAGAAGTGGGCGCCGGATCATCTGAAAAGGATCCACTCAGCTATTGATGCGATCCCTCCTGGAGTAAATTTTGATACTCCGTAGTGAGAACTTGGCATCGACGAAGTCCCAAATTCTTTTTAACATTGACGATACCCTAATCAACCTCCTCCAATTCATATGAGAACCCTATTATTTTTTACTAGGACGGACTAATACAATGGCGATGTCACACATCAGATAAGCGATTCCACTTCAGCGTACAAAGGGTCATTTAGTTCCAAAGTACGGAGTAAATCCCACTCTATTTGCGCCGTCGATGGAGCGAGGGAGAGTAACCCCCCACACTGTCGACACACGAAACCGAACTTATAGTTAATCACCTCCATATCTCACCCCCCTCTTATCACAAGCCCTCAATTAGCCAAGGAAGAAGCAATAAATCGGAGAGAGGCGTCAAACCGCACCAGTCGAATTTGTAGTAGAAAGGGAATCACTCAATTTTCTAAGCACCTAGATATCACTCTTTAAGATATGGCGCTAATACGAAAGCGTACTAGTACACATTTTGACTTTGTGAGATGTCAACTTTTGAAACGAATCGCCAAATAGACACGAAAATCTCACCCAATCAGAGAGGCCCCAAAAACGCGTTATTTTGGGTAGTCATGTATGTCACGTCGTTGGAGCGAAATGATTTTTCTTCAATTTAGGGTGACCTTCGCAGTCTCCGGGCAACAATGCCTAGGTAGGTAATTTCCATTCGCCTGTGCTCCAGCAATTACCTACCTTACCGAGCAAACCACACAATCAATCAGAACGCTAGTAGCGTCGAGATGTCGATTTTAGAACGAATCGCCAAATAGACGCGAAAACTCGACAGCCAATCAGAATGCACTAGTTGACGCGTTATTGGCTCAGTGTGAATTTTTTGAGTTTGGTCTCAGTGTGAGACAATAGTATTCCAGAGTGCAGAATAAAATATATCATTTTATTCGTTTCGGTGGGTATGCATAGACCAATCATTTCATAGCTTCTCGGAAATTGAAAGTTTAAAAAGAATTCATTTCTTCTGAAACTAGCATTCATTAAATGACCATACGAAAGAGGAGATAAGAAGTAACAAGGAAAGAGAGGCGGATTGAAAACTTTGCAGTTACAATGCATACATGTACATGCACATAGGGTGAACACTTTCAGCTCATGAATAAAAGGAAGAAAAAGACGACAGCCAGCAAATAAATCAAAGAGCATAACATAACATACTTGTTGTACTCGTACATTTCCCAGTGCTTGATAAATAGGAAAACTGGCTTTTCGTGTTTCGCTTTACTTTATCCGCAACTCCGCGGCGAAAGGGTAAAAGAATCATCGGTATGTTGAGGAATAGGGAAAGCAGAAGGATTGAAAAGAAAAGGAAGAACATAGGAGAGTTCTGGCCGGTTAAGTCGGTTAAGTCGACAATGTGGTACAAAAATTCAACAGGGAAAGAGAAGAAGCAAAGAAAATGTAACAACAGGATGAGATGTACATATGCAAAAGCCACTGGTTAATGAAATTTGCTCTCTTTGTGGGAATCAAGCAAGGGTTAAAAGAGAAAGGCAGGGAAAACAGGTGTTCTTGTACATTTCGGACAATAATTAGACAAATTGGGAACAAGAAAACCGTTAGATCAATGTGGAAAACTTCAGAAAAAAGAACTGGAAAAGGAAAAAAAAACAAAAAAATAAAATAAAATAAAATAAAAAATTGCCGGAGAGGGGCGTGGTATGTCAGTAAATAAAAGGAATATATTTCTGGGAATGAAGGTCGGGGTACATAGAAGCAAGAATAGAGCGTTCAGGTCGTAATTATCATCCCTTAAACAAAAGGCTCCATCTTCCTAAGGGGATTTATGTATCTTTGTACAAAGATTTACTTTTGGGTAATTGATGTGCGGAGTTGGATGCACGATCCATCAAGGTCTCAACTCTTCTCCCAACTGCAAAGGCACTCCGCCACCAACCCTTTTCTCTCGTGTCGTCGTCGTCATCATCGACGGGCTCCCCGCAGACGGAGGAATCAACCCGTCAAAGTTAAGCCGTTTCCTCAACTCCTTTGAAGGCCGTGGTGTTCTGGAAGATAGAGTACCTGGCGTGCGTCCGCCCCATGGTACCTGTGCGGGACTAGGGGTGACATTGACAAAGTCTGCAAAGTTGAATTGCTGAGCTGGCGAACCGAAGTTGGCGGTTACACCACCGCCTGGTGTTGTTGTCAATGAAGGGAGGAGTGCGGCGTGTTGACTGGGAGGGGTTGAGGGGGGGAAATCTAGTATGTTGCTGAATTTTCCACTCCCACGGTAATTTGCTGGAGTGGGAGAATTCGCTAGGTAGAGCAATAGGTCTACGCCATTTTCGCCATTTTCTTTTTCGATATCTTTGTCATTACGTGCCACAGTGCGGTTGCGTTTCGGAGGGGGAGTGCGAGGTGGGGAGGAGCTGATCATCGAAGAGCTGATGGGTTGCTGCATGGACTCGTTGACAGCGATGGAATGGCGCTTGTGGTGACCAAGGAGATTGTTTTGGTATGCGGTGCTTTGACAGTTGAGGATTGGTGACGATTGAGGCTGACGGTTGGTGGCCTTCCACGATGAGATCCGTAGGGCCTTTGAAGGTTGCTCTGTAGTAGGACTGGAAAGTCCGCGTTTCCGTGATCCGCCTCCATTGGTGTCAAGGGAGCTGGGGAAGAACATTGCGGCATGTTTGCTCCGCGAAGATCTCGGGAGCTCCTCAGATAGGATTGGGGTTGGAAGCGGGGACGGAGAAAAAGGGGTTTCGTAGCGGTTGTTGTCACATATTTCCGACGAAGAATCTGATATCACTTCCCCTTCACTAGGGCCGCTTACCACAACTTGCTGTAGCGGTTGTAACGGTTCGATTCGACGGCGATGGGTTCGTTCATAGCGGACCTTTGCCAGACCCAGACGATCTTGGAGGTTGAGCGATATCTGCAAGGCAAATTTTAAGGTGTAAGTGAAAGGTTTATTATTATTATTGATTAATCAGGAGGAAGATGTTTCGTATTTGGTCTATGTTCAAGGGTCGTACCTGAGCAAGATCGAGCTTGGGAATTTTCCGCTTTGGAGAGCCGGTGGGCCCCGTAGCAGCCATTCTGCCTCAATAACTCGTTATATTCGCCAGTTTGTCTCTTGATCTCGTTATCAGTCGGATGAAGTGAGAGGGGAGGATTGGATGCCTAAGGCCAAAAATCTGTAGTTTGGGGGGGTTTGGGGGAAGCGGAGACGCCAGTTGCAAACGTTTTGGAAGTAGGGTTAAAGAAGTCTAGGATATACTCAATTGTTTTGTGAAGATATAAAGGGGTTGGGGAGTAGCTGCAGGGTCGGAGATGTCTTGCTTGCACCGCAGACCTGTTTGGTGAATGTATGGTGGAGATGTGGCACGTAACAGAAGGGCTGGGTGTGTGCTGGAGCAAGACTTGCTTTGTAAAAAAGAGTCCTGGGTTGTCCTGGGTGCTGGAGCCGGTTATTGGCGAATGGGCAGGGGTGGCTAACGCGGCAAAACAGGGCGATAACCACGCGACTTTTTCTGGGTAGTTCCTGGGCGTCTCCAACTACCGTTTTTGATATTACGGCTTTGGTTTATGGAGCGAGCACTCGACGATGACTGTCATGGGAGCGTATCTATCACCACTTCTCATGATTAGGATTTAGGATGACCACAACACAGTCCTTGCGACTCGTTCAGGGGATAGCGGTATGTTTTTTCCGCTTCAGATATTGCTTTATACCTAAAGGCCTTCTCCTTGGGCTGATAACAATGATATCGCTGATGATGTGGATTTGAATCAAACCCCAATTTAAAAAAAACTACTTGGGTAGCAGGTTTCGTGCCTGTCTAATTTCTACGAATTGTGAAACACAGGGTTGAACCTATCAACTCCAACCGGTTTCGATCGAATTTGCTTTTGCCGATAGCTCGTGAGAGGAGAACCATAAAAGGGGAAGAAATAACCAAAAGCCGAATCCATTCGTTTTACTTAGTTATATCACTGGAATAGAGGAAATGGATTTGTCATTCCAAAAAAAAGAAGAAAAAGAAGAAAAAAAGAAAAAGGAAAAGGTCTCTGCATGTCCAATCCGCGTTCTCTCATGGACGGTTATAACATGGAACATCTTCACTTCTGCGAAACCCATGTGCCTGGGTCTTTCTCAACAGGCTAATCAACTGCTCCAACGTCGACAATGTCTCTAGATTCAATCCCTACTCGGGTACAGTAGCACTGTCATTTCTAAGAATGCTACGCAGCGGCTGGGATAAAACCTTCAGCGATGAGATCTCCCTCTTGCAGGAGGTTTAGCGTCGCGCTCCATTGGGCAAAGACAGGCTGGTGCCCTGAGGAATCTTTTTTGAAAAACGCAACTGTCTGGAAAGCTGAATGAACTCTTTTCTTCTAGTGCGGACTATTACGGTTGGACAACCGGTTGGCTGTAGAAATGTCGAAGTATAGTTAATGGTCTAATTGTGGCAATAAGCCGAGTAAAATCAGACTTCAGGCGAAAGATACTGGGATTAAGCAAGGTTTTGCTCAAGATCAATATCTGGAATTGGAAATGGTAGCTGATAATCCAACTTGCTCATCTCATATCTTACCATGGTTGGGTATCGAATAAGGTGAAATGATAAGCGACATGGTGATTTATTATTCTGTGTGAAGGCTGCCAGATGAGCAATGCGAGAGGAATGAAGGCTTTTTATATCGCCACATAGATGCGATTTTCAAACATAGATCAACACCATTTAAGTAGTTTAACTTAAACAACGGAGTTCCAGGGGTATTCGACTATTGGTCCATCCAATCAATCCTGGCTCTCTTCCAAAGAGGACCGGGGCCAGAGTTAGGTGCTTCAATCTCTATAAACATCCCGGGAACCCTTCTCTCAACTGCCCTGCCATCTTGCATTTGGTTTCTGCTAGGAACCAGTGCATTCATTGTTCTATTTGCACTTTGGCAACAAAAGGAGGATGGAAAACAGTGCATCTATCTCTAAAACACAATCTTTTCTTAATGTTGTTCACTTTCACTTTTGAAATTTTTCAAAGCTGTGATGCCTCTTCTCACAAAATTTTAATTTTTAATTTTTAATTTATTTTATTGTATTTTATTTTATTTTATTTTATTTTTTTCACACAATATTTGTATTCATCTCTAATTGGCGATGGCGGTGACAGCATTAAACTATCCAAGAATTAAAAGAGAGAAACTGAGCCAATCTCCACACATAACCTCAGCCTGCTTTTTATTTTTATTTTTCCTTTCATCTGTCTTAAAATACATCCTATGTCTGCTAAACACATAAGAAAAGGTCTGGAAGCAGCCTGGGATGATCCCATTCATATCATTTCAGCAATTGCAGTCTGAACGGTTGGTGTTTTAAAATTAATATGTCTCTATCTAAGTGGACATCAGCGTTGTTATTTATTTTCGGCTGTCTATCCCTATAAACTCTCTGATGGGGAATCACCATACAGAGCACCGTCTCCTCTGCGGCGACAACGACGACGGCGGCGATGATGATGACGATGATGATGAGGGGCGGAGCTAAACAACAAGTCAACGACTCCCCCGGACGACTAAACAGGCGCAATTCCCGATCCCTACTCACTTACAAGGCTGCGACCCCTCGTCCGCTCTCCATAGCAACACTTTGCTGTTGCGGATACGACTTCATAAGCTTAGCTATCTGTTAACGCTACCCTGCTGTAGCTGCTGGCTTAGAGCAAAACTAGTATCTTTGTTTTCGCCCCTACTGCTGTCTTCTTTTTTTTTTGTCTGTCGCCGGCTGTCAGTGCTTGGGCTTCTCGACCTTCTTTTCTTCAGCTTCTGCGGCTTCTGCATCTTCTCTTCTCCTATTCTCTAGGGACATATATGCTGCATGCTCTGTTCAAATATTCTACTCAGTCCACGCGCCCAGGGACCTTCTGGAGTCCTGATGGCTGTATCTTTCTGACTCCATCCCCACAATCGCTGTTCCGTTGTGGTCACAAATTTCTCCTCCTCCTCCTCCTCCCTCCCTCACGCGTGGCTGACCCTGCCATTTCTCTCTCGCGTTCTTTCTCTCTTCTTTCTCCACGCTCTTCTTTTTTTTTTTTTTTTTTTTTTTTTTTTTTTCCCTTCTCTTTCTTCCCCCCTCATTTCCGTTTTCTTTTCTTCTTATCTTCCAGTCTGTTTTTCCACTTCCTTTTTTCTATCTCGGGTAACTCATATACGAATACGGTGTATCCCCAGCTGCTGGCTCAGAGCAGCTATAATAGATGCAGAAATGCCCTTTTTTAAGGACTTTCGTCGCCGGTCGAGGGCAAGCTTTACGCTGTCTCCATCTTCATCCTCCCCGGCCAATGGCCATGTAAACCCTGATGCGTCTTCCTCCACTCTTGATTCCCCGGCTCACAGCATCCAAAGCTCCACTATATCGTTTCTCAATGGCAACAGCAATAGCAATAGCAACACGAGCAATAACAGCAGCAACGGCAGCAATGCCAACAACCAATCTGCCTCACATTTACCTGCCCTGCCCCGATTGAACGCAAATGATGGCTCACGCCCGGGGACAGTACCCCAGAGACCTGTTCCTATCGGTTCACAGTCGAAGCGAAATAGTGTCACGGTGAGTTTTCTCATATTAGGATATTATTTACTTTCCACTGAAAAGAGTTCCGCAACATCCATATATTTAGATCACATTGCTGATATTTCACCTCACTTTAGAATGGCAATCTCACATCTACAACCAATTCTGCAAGAACAGGGGTACCTATTTCTCCATATGCGCCAAGAGTATTTTCGGTTTCTGATAACTCATGGGTATGCAGACTCGCGCTGACATGACTTCAAGCACAAATGGCGTGGTATAGTCTGTATTATGGATGCTAACTTTCACTTACCCTGTCAGGTTCATCAGAAGATTCTTTTGATTTATGGAGAAACTGGAGATGCACAGCAGCACTCCATTGATGGAAATATAATAATTTCCAATCCTCAAGATTCATTTCCTACCATTACCTGGCCAGTCTCTGAATCCCATTTCAAGGCTCTGATCCACCTTGTTCCGGGCCCCAACAAACTACGACTCGACTTCACGTCCTCGAAACTTCAGAAGCAAACTGTCCACTCATCGTGGATAAGCATAAACTATTTACCGTTGGCAAATTGTCCTCCACTCCAGCTCGCAGTCGTGCTTGGGAGTGATTCATATGGCCACTTCGATGCTGTTCCGGAGAGGATAGCTCGGGAAGGAAACGACTTGGAAACTGCCATACGGAAATTTCGAATGGCTGCATATCTATGGCAGTCTTTTACTGCTGAACAGATGTATCGAAACAAATTCGGGAGGCGCTGTTTCCGGTTCGAAGAGGAGTGGCAGGTTGGAACTCTAAGTTCTCAGGACACAACATCAGACCAAATGAGAAACGAGGCCAGAATACATATTATCCGGTGCAACAGAACAGTTGACGAACTTAGAGGGCTCAGCGTCGTACAGCGGGATGGCACAAAATCTGATAGTAACGAACTCTTCAAAGTTGTACTCGAGGCAGTCGAACGCTACTTTGGCTCCCGGGGAGGTAAACCTCATTACGTTTCTGCCCTGCTACTTGATAGCCATTGGGATAAAATGACCCAAACTATCATAGGCCATACGGCCGCTGGCTCCAGTGGTCATGATATCAAGCTAGCCCTTTTTGGGTCGTATGCGTTGCAAAACTATCCAGCCTCCATGGAAGATATAGTTGCAGCGTTTACGGATTGCACTCGAACTGATGTTAACTTCGTTGCCAATTATAAAAATGAATGTGGGAGTAGCTGGGAGGCTGCCAACTCTGGAATTGGAGGCCATCTCCATGAAATTGGCCGTTTGTTTGGTTGTCGCAATCAGGAGACCGGTATCATGAGTCGCGAATACGTTCCGTTGAATCGAAGTTTCACTACTCGAGAGCCCTATTCGACACGCACGAAGTCACAGGGGCTTCGACTCTGCCTATGTCAGGACGAACCTACTTGGCATAGACTCGACACCCTTCGTTTCAGATTTCATCCGTGCTTCCGGCTGCCGCGCGATTCACCTCCTATATCTGACGACTCTATTCAAGTGTGG